GAAGTTAGGAAAGAAAGTGGTAAAGAAAATGGATTTAATTATAGTTTGATCGAAGTGGGAAGAGATAAGCCTACGGCCATCATGTAATTTAAAAGGATAACTTTGTGATAGAGAGTAGAACACGTAAATTTGTGGATAGGCTATGAGTCCCTTCCTGGGGAAAGAAGACCTAGGCCTAGACTTTCTCCCCTCTCTGTTAGAAAATTTGTTTTATTCAAGTCTAGCTGAGGGAAATGAGGTCTTCAACATCTCCTAGTTTTAAAAGAGAGAAGAATTTCTGCTTCTTTGGTGATATTGATTGCACCCATTCAGGGCCTGGAAGAATTCTTCCTGTCTTTTTCTTTTCATATAAACCCATTCATCTTAAACGTGCTGATTTTCAAGAGGGAAAAAGATGATAATCTAGCCAGGCGGTGGTGGCACAGGCCTTTGATCCCAGCACTGAGAGTCAGAGGCAGCGGCAGCAGATCTTTGTGAGTTCGAGGCCAGCCTGGTCTATGGAGTGAGTTCCAGGACAGCCAGGGCTGTTACACAGAGAAACCTTGTCTCAGAAGAAAAAAAAAAAAAAGTCAAAAGATAAAAGATAATCTGATCATGAAGGGAGGGCACAAGGGGCTCTTTAAAGTAGCCCCATCTTGTCAGGGCTTCAGTATGGAAGCACATACTTGTCCCAGAATCCTGAAGGGCTGCAGGAAGGGCAGGGGCTTGCCTAAGTCTCACAGACTTCCAGGAGGCACTCTCCCTGCTCCATGTCAGGTGGCCCTCCCCACACAACGCTCGGAGAGAGGGCCCCAGAGGCCGCCCACTGTGTGGGCGCTGTCATCCATGTTCTGCTAGGAAGTGCTGATGTGCAAGGCTTGCCAACGGGTGGGTGACCTGGCAGAGATGTACGGTTGGTCGCAGTGGAATCTGGTTGCCATGGGGATGAGAGATTTTCTGCTCAAGCTGTTTGAGAAGCAAATTTTCCATTGAGTGTGTGTCTCACACTCACATCTTTCATTTTTTAAATATTTTGTTTTCTTTTCAAGAAGCATCAGGGGTGGGTTAAACATTAAAGGTCGAGTTATGCAGACCTGAAGGCTTCAGCTGTAATCCCAGCTCTCAGTAAACTGAGGCATGAGGATCAAAAAAAGCCAAGACCTTCCATCACCCATCAGCCCTGCCCCACCTCACTGCCACCCTCAACTGTGGTCGGTGGCTACTGTTTCTTTTTTTCTTCTTTTGAGACAGGGTTTCTCTGTGTTAACAGTCCTGGCTGTCAGGGAACTCTGTAGACCAGGCTGGCCTCGAACTCACGGAGATCCGCCTGCCTCTGCCTCCCACCCGGCTGTGGTGGCTACCTAAAGTCAAATAAATTAGTGATAGCTTTGCTCTTGATTAAAGGATCCTAGTGCTAATCGCCTCCCCAGAGGCAGCCTGATGTGGTGTCTGTCACCCTCCAGGGGCGCTCACCCTCCCAGACCTCTCTGCACCCCTTCCTACTTGAGTGGTTACGGGTCTTTGGGAGCACTGACCTGTCTCTGTCTCTTCAGTTTAGGTTTTTGTTTTCATATTCTTTCTCTTGTTTCTGTTTCTTCCCGAGTGAGAGGCTTGGTTAAGGCTTTGCTGGACTACAGAGTAAGTTCAAGGCCAACCAAGGCAATTTAACCGACCCTGTCTCGGAATAAAAGCTAAAAGGGAGGCATTGCTGAGACTCACTAGAATATCCTGCTGTTGCCCAGATTCAGGGTAATGCTGTGGCTGGGCAGGGCATCAGGGATCAGGCTCTGTGCGAGCTCCTGGCTGCTGCACACCTCTCTACCCTTGGTGACTGAGGCGGCGGCGCTGAGGCTTCTGACTCAACCTTTGTGTTTGTAGCCTGCGGGTAGCACAGCCGACCCGCACTCCCCATCATCTCGCAGCAGGGCAAGCAGTTCGGCCTGCAGCCTCAGCAGCTCCCTGTTGGGGGCCAGCGGGCGGTCCCCTAGGACCGTTCTGTTCAGTAATGACAGTTTCCGAGGGAGCTCCAGACCGCTGCACATCCGCATCTCCCTGCCATCAGGGCTGGGAGCCCCAGAGCTCACCGGGCGCGACCTTGTGCCTGCAGCCTGCTGCCTGAGAAGCGCGCTGCTGTCCGCTCTGGTCCACCCTCTTTCTTTCCCAATTCGTGAGTCCACGTTTTAAAAGCATCTTCTCGTAAGACTTTCCTTTTCTTTTTTCTTTCTTTCTTTCTTTTTCTTCTTTTTAGTTGTTCTGAAGCTATTGCACCCCCCTGCAGACTCCTTTTCTGCTGCCGTCACCCCTCAGAGCCTCCATGGGTCTCTCAGACTCCTCAGAACCGCCATCTTTGTTTTCCTCCGGGTTCTTTTTGTTTTGTTTTGTTTTTTTGTTTTTCGAGACAGGGTTTCTCTGTGTAGCTTTGCACCTTTCCTGGAACTCACTTGGTAGCCCAGGCTGGCCTTGAACTCACAAAGATCCGCCTGGCTCTGCCTCCCGAGTGCTGGGATTAAAGGCGTGCGCCACCACCGCCACCATCGCCCGGCTTCCTCCGGGTTCTTATATTCTAATCTTAATTGCTGATATTAGCTCTCAGATCACACATGACACTTTGCAAAACGGCTACAGAAGGGTTGCAGAGGCGACGAGTTCAAAGAGGTCTTAGTGGAGCCAGGGCAGGGGTGCTCCGGTCACAGAGCACACCAGGGTTGCTGCAGGTGTGTAGACCAGGTGTTTTACACTAGGTGTGTAGACCAGGTGTTTTACACCAGGTGTGTACACACCAGGTGTGACCACACCAGGTGTGACCCAGCTGGAAAGCTGCAGGAGGCGTGCAGATCGAGCGGACAGGAGGCACAGGACCAGGTCTGGATGTATGGGGAGTGATTCAGTAACGGAGCGGGTGTGTCAAGCAGCCAGGACCATGATGAGCTGGAGCTCTGAGGACAGTTTGGAACCCTCTGCCTACTGGTTCTTCCTGCACTGAGTGGTTGGATGACAGTGGGCCATCACAGACCACAGTGCTAAGTGTTAAGTGTTGTCTGTGGGCCATCACAGACCACAGTGCTAAGTGTTGTCTGTCTATTCCCTCTCTCTGTCTCTTTCTCTGTCTCTCTCTATGTGTCTCTCAGTCTCTCCCTCTCTCCCTATCTGTCTCTGTCTCTCTCTCTGTCTCTCCATGTGTCTCTCTGTCTCTGTCTCTCTCTCCCTGTCTCTCTCTCCCTCTCTCTCTTTCTGTCTGTCTGTCTCTGTCTCTCTGTCTCTCTCTCTCTCTCCATCCATCCAACATTTAACTCCAGATCCTCCTGCTGTGGGATGTCTTTCTGTATGCTATGAACGTGCGTTGCTCTGATTGGTTGATAAATAAAGCTGTTTGGCGAGTGGCGAGGCAGAGTAAGGTTAGGCGGGACATTCCAACCCGACAGAGAGGAGAAGAAAGGAGTGTGGGGCAGATGCTGTGAGCCACAGCCAGGAGAAGCAAGATGTGGAAATACTGGTAAGCCACGAAGCCACGTGGCCAGACATAGAATAAAGGACTGGGTTGAATTAAGTTATAAGAGCTAGTTAATAATGAGCCTGACCCATAGGCCATATAATTTGCAATTAATATTAAGCCTCTTAGTGGTTATTTTATAAGAGACTGTGGGAGGGGGAACTGGTGGGTTGGGGTGGGGGGGAATGGCAGGGCGGGACCAGGTAGGACCAGAGAAAATTACAGTACATCCTCCTACATCCATCTCCCACGTGCTAGGATTATAGGCCTGTGCCACTGTGCCCAGAAGTCATCCTTTTTTATGGAATTAAAATTGAGAAGGTACTGCCCCCTACATTGGTCTGGTAAGTCCTGTAAGCCTGGGGACCTGGTTTGTCCAACATGGTTTTAATATGCTCATATGTGCATATATGCCCAATCTACTTCACTGTATCTGTCGGTAATACCTTCCTACTTATAGCAAAAGGAAGTTTATCAAGTTTGTGGCCAGCAGCCCCCAATGATGCTCGCTCATGTCTCTTCCTCCTCCCAGCCTCCCCACAGCGCTGGGGTTATAAGCACATGAACAACCGTTCTGGAGATTTGAACTCAGGTCCTTGTACAGCAAGCACTCTTACGCACTCTTACGCTATCTCTCCGGCCCATCTCTTGATTGATACTGCATTGTTTCTACCTCTGTATGATGATGAATGATGCTACCACTGTGAACACCACTGTACAAGGATCTGTTTGAGGCTGCTCTCTGTTTCTTGGATATACCCCCAGAGGTAGAACTGCTGGATCGTGTGCTAGCTCGATCTATGTTTAACTTTTCGAGGAGCTGCCAAACTATTCCCCAAGCAAGCCCCTGTGGAGCCTTGATGAAGATGATTTTATAATAGAATTTGGCAGTAAGCATAATTGTATCAATTTTTAAATTCTCTCCTATTTACCTATTTTTCTCTGAGGGTTTCTACAAGTCCTTTTAGTTCATTTTTCTATTCTCTCTTTCACTATAACATACCTGAGGATGGTTCTGAATTGCGAATCTATTAATTGGTTAACCTGTGCTAGCAACAAGGTTGGGGATTATCAATTCATCCTCCCATTCTCTAAACCCTCTTGAGCCATACCATGGGTCCAACAAAAATTGATATCAGCTACCCATTTGTGGAGACCTTCATCCCGCTCTTCACCCTCAACCCATCTCCAGTGTGCCCCCCACCCACCCTGCCAGGAGCTTATGCAGACCCAGCCTACAGGATGCCACTGAGCTCCTCGGGTTGTGGTAATGCTTCTGCCTCTGCCGTTGATTTTCAGTCATTCCTATAGATGTCTCCGCCCTGTGCGCACACCACAGGATCTGTTACAAGACCAAACATGGAGCCTTCAGGACCCTCGCTAATATTTCCATTATGAATATTAAATATATTCCGAGAAACACATGGAGGCTGGAAGTGTGGCCTTCACGGGTCTCCAAGTGAGAGTACTTGCCTAGTATGGGCAAGATCCGGGGTTCAGTCTTTAACGCCACAAATAAATACATAATAGATGTAAACTCAGCAGTTTAATGAATAATTATAAAGCAAACATCCTTGTCACCACCACCAGGTTAAAGAGAACACTGTCCAGGACTCTTCATCCACCCTGGGAAACCTTGACCAGTGCTGACCCCTCCCCTCTCCGCCGGTTAGTCTTATTCTGAACTGTATCATTTCTCCCTGTGTGCCCTCTTTGAGGCGTGCATCCCTGAAGACACGGTTTTGTTTTGCTTGGCTTGAACTTCCCATTAAAGAAATGATGCTATCTTCGTTTTGCATTGGCTTTGTCCACTCAGCTGTGTGCCTGTGGGTGACATCCATGTCATTAGGTGCAATGGCACCTAACTGTGGTTAGCTGGTCTTCACAGCTGGATAATGTGCCATCCTGCAAAACCACTCTCTGTTTAGGGAACGTACGCTATGATTGTTGATAGGCCTTGGGTTCGAGCCAAGGACCCCTTGGAGAAAAGGACTTCCCATGATCTCTTTCACGGGTCTGCAGGGGACAGCATGTGCTGGGGTCGGGGTGGGAGTGTTTCTGTGTCCACTTTCAGCCCAACACGCACAGATGCTGGCCGTGGTAGTCTCACAGCTGCCTCAGGCAGGAGAGTGCCTGCTGGCTTTCCAATACAGGGAAAACCCTGCAAATCTGCCTGTGCTTTCTACAGGAGCCACAAACATCCGACATCCTTGACTTTGCAACCTCCAAACCTTGGGTATCTGTCCACACAGGGCAGCCAATCACGCAGCATCTGGGACACCTTGCTGCCCTTCCAGGAACTGTAAAAACTCCAGTTACAAGCCTGGCCAGCCAGTCATAAAAAAAGACTTCAAAGGCTCATGATGCCACTGGCTGTGAGTTCCAATGGCACCCGAGTGTCCTCCAAAGTTTTCCTCACTGCTCCCTGCGGAGTCCCACACTCAGCTGTGTTTGGCCAAAGTAACAGTGCTGGGCCTACCAGCCAGGACACTCAGGAACAAGGCAGGAGTACACATGAGAGGCACTGTCAGCACATAAAAGTTCATCAATACCGTCTGCTTGGAAAGGATACGTATGTGTGTACCTTATTATAAATTCTGAGTCATGGAGGTAAGTGCAAGGAAAAAAAAGCCCAGGCAAAATCACTTCTGATTCCACCACCTAGAAAGAAGCATTTCGTCAGTGTGGCTCTAGATATCTCTCAGTGCAAACGTGCAGACAGAGAGGTGGATGTGGATGAGATGAGGAGGAGTAGACACGCCAGCCATTGACCACAATCCGGATAAAATCCTATTGTACACATCATTTTAAAATAAAAGAAAAATGTATTTCCTTAAAGGCTAGTATCTGCTGTCTTCTTCCTCATAACGCAGAAGCCTGGAGATCACAAAACACAGATCTAAATCTAAATCAAAATTGCCTTCTACGACCAGAATATTCATTCCATTAATGTATCCACACGTGTGTCTCTGCCTGTACATGATCTATACTGTGTTCCCCCAAATGCCATATCTTGAAGCCCTCGTACCCAATGTGCCTACACGTAGAAACATGAGGTAACTAATCAAATGAGGTCACAGGGGCCTAATCCGAACTAACCAATGTCCTCAGAAGAAGCAAAGAAACCCCAAAGCTTGCTTGTCACGGAGGAACAACTATGGTGATGGAGTGAACAGGAGGCTGCCAGCCATGGAAGACAATGCTCCAGGAACTAACCCCACAGGCGCTCTGACCTTGGGGCTGCACTGTTCAGTCACCCCGTCCGTATGATTTGGGTATGGTAACTTAAGCAGCCCAGTCCTGCATCACAGTGTCTTCAGAATGCCTTTATCACAGTAGCAGAGCAGTGTACCGCCTCACGCAGTGTTCCGCCTCACCCACTGGCCATGCTGTGTCCAGATCCTCAGCGGGCCACTCAAAACCACACAGCAGCTGCACAGGCCTCCTGTCTCCACTCAGGCCGCAGTGAGAAGTGCATCTCAAGCTACTCCACCAGAGCCAAAAGGAGACAGCAGATAGTGCCTTGCTGGCCACGCAGCCAGGGGAACATTGAGCTTCTCAGCTTGGTGGTAAGTGGAGGTGTGCACCTGAAGTCAAAGGTGGCCAAACTGGTGGTTATTGTAGAAGAGCTGTCTGCATGGTTCAGCCTACAGAAAAGACCCAGGGCGGCAGCAATAGTAGTTAACACTATAGCCAGAATTTTAGCATCAGGACAATAAAATGCGTTGGTCCTCAGCTGCGCTGGATCTCTCAGATGGCCTCAGCCTCTGACATATCCAGGTCACAGCTGTCACAGCTGGTAAGAGGACACTTCAATCTTATGTTCTGTCTAGGCCCCAGCCATGTCTTCATGGATGTAGTGCCCTCTTCCTCCTGAGGTAACACCTATGCAGTCCTTACTCAGATATACACACTCGAGCCTTCACATCCACTGGCCCTACCAACCAAGGATTCAATAGACACAGAAGGGAAACTTCTAGAAGCTTCAAAAAAAAAGCAAGACTAGAATTATCCATTCACCAAGGACCATGAGGCATCCCTGTGAATGAAGCAAAGCAAAGGTATAACTGTTGGAGCCTCCCAGTGTCTCCACACACTAAGCTTCACCAGTGCCCATTGTTTGAACCTCATTGGTCTGGACTCTCATTCAAGGACTGTGAAATTGAGCCTGTGAGCTGCCTCTGGGCCAAACAAGTACAGGCCTTTTCTCCCTTGTCTCCGTTTCCTGAACAAGACAATACAGCAGCTGTTTACATGGCACTTGCATTAGGTATTATATGGAAATCAGAGACCATTTAAACAACACAGGAGTGTGTGTGTGTGTGTGTGTGTGTGTGTGTGTGTGTGTGTGTGTGTAGTTACACATAACTGTCATTTTGGTATCCAAGGGAGGAGAGGTTCTGGAACCAGTCACCTGCAAATACCAAGGGACTTAATGATACTTAGTGTATATAACAGTCCTTAAAGGTACGTAGTAAGCACAGTGCCTGAAGGAGATATGCTTTCAAGCGTGATTCAACCTGAACAGAGGGACCAGGAGGCTGGAGTTCCTCTTCAGGACACTGGGAAAAGCCCCTTTGTAAAATGAAGTTTCCCCCATGTGCACTCATGAAAAGATGTACCCCCTGAAAAGATGTGCATTAACAGTCAGTCAAAAATGCATCACCCCACGAGGCTCTCAGAGTTCAGCCTGTGGTTCAAAGTAAAGATCAGAGATACCAAAGTAAGACTATAATATTCACCTGGTTCAGATGGGACACCATCTGGTGTGGTACCTAAAAACCATAAGTGAACCAAAAGTAGATATCAAGTACCTGACTCCCATAGCTGTAGCGTCCTGAGACAAAATACGCTGCTCAAGTCGGCCCTGACTCAAGGAGTTCTGCTCCCCTGAGATCTCTTGTCTACCAGAACCAACCCAGGGACCAGGAGTGCAATAGTCACGTGCTTTACATGCAGATGCTCCAAAGGCCTTTAACAAGGCTGCGCAAGGCTGGGGCCACGGCTTCCTATCTTCTTCCTGATGCCCCGGAGAGGCGAGGCTGCATCTGAATGATGCTGAGGGCTTGCATTATCATCCCCAGGCCCTAAGCCCCCATCGACCCCAGTTTTCCTGGCTTCCCCTTCTTACCCAAGCCCCTGATGTGATCCCCATTCCCAGGCACCCCGACCCCACTTACTGACACCCCCTATCTCCAACTCCCATCCCTAGAACTGCCCCCACCGCAATCCCTTCATAATCCACTGGCCAAACTCTGTACTGGGAGGAGAAAGCTGTTCCCAAGCAGGACTCTATTTCAAACTGCGTCCTTCTAAAGGATGCTGAGCTCCAAAACCCGGAAGCTGCCTCTCTAGCCTGACTGCAGGGTTGTGCTTGGGGCAGGCAAGCTGTGGGAGCAGCGGTTCATATGTGTCTCGGCTACCTGCTCTTTACCCAGGTGCTGGGGGGTGGGAGGGACGGAAGGGGGTGCCTCTGTGTTCCTGCTCTGGCCCTGCTCTGTGGGGGCGGAGCAAGCTGGCTCGGCTCAGCTCTGCAGCAGCACCAGCTGGTGAGCTCTCCAGATCTTTCTCTACCCCCACGGCACCTCCTCCTCTCACCTAAAATGGGAGGAGAGAGGGGGAGGAAGGGCTGATTTTCCTCCTGGGCTGAATTTATCCCAACTGCATGCAGACCGGCTGTGGAAGCCTGGAGAAGACAAACAGAGAAAGCTTGTTAGAATTTTTCAGAACTCGCTTGGTGTTTCTCAGCCCCCTCGTTTTCTTCCTGCCTTCCAGGGGGAAGAGCTGTGCCCCACTCCTGCGGCTCCAAAGTGCATCTGAGGGGCGACTCCTGCCGCTCCAAAGTGCATCTGAGGGGCGCTCGCAGCTCGAGGCTGCCTACAGGCTTTCAAGCAACCTCAGACCCCGCGAAGATGTGTTTCAGCTTGATAAGTGCCTGTCATTTTTCTAACAGTTCTCAAGTTGGCCTTCGCTACTGTGATGCTAGCTCTCTGTTAGGTTTTAGATGTGCTGGTTCAGAAAGACACCAGGACAGATTACTGGTGACTCAGGACTTTGTTTGGTAATGTCATGGATAGAGAGATGGGGGTGGGCATCAGCATGGCAGAACCTCGGAGGATAGTTCAGGCCCTAGCATCAGAGAGATACAGCACGATCTGGTCTCTGGAGAGAATCAGAGCCACAATAAAGGAGGAAGGAGCTGTTTCTTAGACCTTTTGAGGAGGTTCACAGCAGAAGCCTGCAGCCACACTTTCTGATTCCAAGGCAGGAGACTGGGAAAAGGGTGGGGAACAGGATGTAGCACCCCTTGGATGCATACCCACTTCCTAAGTGAAATGTCTGGACACCCAAGACTCACAGAAAGTGTCCCAGTAGGGTGCCTGCCAAAGTAAGGTAGAAGAGGCCCTAGCTAACATACATTCTTAGACCTCAGCCTGCTCCTAAGCTTTCTCTAGAGCAACAGTATGTCTGCTTGTGTCTCCTGTTCTTGCTGTGGGATGTTCTCTATGCTGTGAATGTGTTGCTCTGATTGGTTAATAAATAAAGTGCTGATTGGCCAGTAGCCAGGCAGGAAGTATAGGCAGGACAAAGAGAGGAGAATTCTGGGAACAGGAAGGCTGAGTCAGGAAACGCTGCCACCCACCGCCATGAGAAGCAGATGTTAAGATACCAGTAAGCCACAAGCCACATGGCAACTTATAGATTAATAGAAATGGGTTAATTTAAGATATAAGAACTAGATAGCAAGAAGCCTGCCACGGCCATACAATTTTATAAGTAATATAAGCCTCTAAATGGTTATTTTATAAGTGGGCTGTGGAACTGCTGGGGCTTGGCGGGACCAGGAGAGAAACTCTCCAGCTACATGTTCTCCTTTCCCCGTGGAGGTTTGCGGGAGACAGAACAGCCCGGAGCGGGTAAGAGAAGTGAAGAGCTCAGATGTTCACCATGGAGCACACTAGGCCTGGACCAAGACACAGGCTACGGCCCAGAAAGGAAAGTCTTGGAAGGTCGAGACACCACCTTGCTCAACCCTCACTGTGGACCCTCGAAGATAATAAGCTGTTGGGTATTCTCCATTGGAAGGTGGTAGAGGCTGCTGGGTAGTAGACGGAGGTCCTGAGGAATTGAGTCAGGGTGTACTGGGTAATAGCCCATAGCCACGAAGAATGAGTTAGCCCCACCCCCCAGCCTAACTATTCTGTTCCACTTGTGGAAACAATATGCCCAAGTATCTAAAACAACCTACCTCATTCCTGGTCAAACAATACACGCACATGCACACGCACATGCACACGCGCACACACACACACACACACACACACACACACACACACACACACGCACACACACAGTGAGAGGGAGAGAGAGAGAGCTGTAACTTCCTAGTACCTACCTATGTATATGTCCCTGTCCCCAAGCTCCTCTAAATGCACTCAACTTTTGGCCTTGAGCATGTTTATTGCCTTACTGTGAGTCACAGGCCACTGAGGGACACCTGGTCTTGAGTGAGGAAACAGAGGTGTGGCGTGGCAGGAGCCAGGAGGGACCACTGCAAAGAGCAGTCACAACAGCTGTGTGTTCACACTGGCTTGGGACTCCTGAGTGACTGTGCCTGGCTGGCTGGGGCCAAGGCCTGAGGCTCACTCTCCAGACTTCCCGGTGACTCACCACAGGCCTCTCCCTTCCATCAACCTCACATAGCCCTTTCCCGCTGCTGACAGCTGACTTCCACAGACACTGTGCTCGGTGACCCTACCCACTTGTTCCCTTTTCTTTTCTTCTTTTCTTTTTTCTTTTTCTGAGATAAGGTGTCATTATCCAGTCCAGGCTGGCCTCCAATGCAGGATCCTCCTGCCTCAGCCTCCCAAGTGCTGTAATGACAGCATGGATTCATCACATCCAAGTCAACCATACTTCTTTCAGAATGCTATCTGCCTGTCCAAAGCCAGAGGCCCAGCCACCACACTCAGACCACCTAAAGCATCAGCTGTCAAGTTAAAAGGGTCTAAGGCCAGGGTTTGGTGGAGAGGGAGCGTGTATAAGCCACCAGGTCTTGCCCAGGCCCCTGCCACCCACTACTCCACCAGAACAGAAGCAAGGATTAGTGTGTTATGTGGGTAACTGAAGACACCTAAGACAAGGCCACCAATCAGAGTAAAGTTCAATGCCATTGGAAGTCCCTATACCAACCAGCTTTCTGCATGGCTTTTGAGCATTTGATTCAAGCCTAATGTCCTACTCTGGCAGATGCTTCTAAGTGGAGCTTTGTTACTATAAGCCAGGTGCCCAGAGACTGCAGTGACTCTCCAGCATTGTGGTCCATGTCACTATGACTGATGATCACCACCGTCATATTGACCAGTCAAAACTTAGGCACTGTCCTTTCTGCATTTGCCCTTTTCAGTGACGTTTATCCCTATGCCCAACCTGTTAGGGACTTCAGTCAATGTTGACAGTTCAAACCAACTCAGGGTGGGCCAGAACATCCTACTAAGCTTTGAAATGACTTGGCGTCTCAGGAGAGTCACAAAGAAGGATTCCTTAGTCTTTGGGAGAGAAGTCATACAAGATGTCAGATCAATCCTGGAGACTTGTGGGAGCCACTGAGAAACTGCTGGAATTAAGGCCTGAGCAAGTCTTTTGTCCCGTCCTGTTCCCCCCATCCCCCACCCCACCCCCACCCCCTGGAGCTGAGGACCAAACCAGGGCTAGGCAAGCACTCTACCGCTGGGCTAAATCCCCAACCCCGCAAGTCTTTTAAAATGATCTTTGAATAAAACAGTGATACCCTGAGACCCAGAGGCCTTGGGTAGACAGGAGCTGGTCTCCGATCATTAATGCCCGGAGCCTTGTAACTCACCCACATGGTAGGAGGCTCTAAGAGCGCACAGCCCCTCATGTCCCCGGAAACCCCTTCCTGATGACATCCACATGTGTCATCCTTCCACGGGGCTGATTAGCTGTAGAACGTGGTATTTCCATGTTCCCAGGATGCATCTGAGTTAGCTCTGTGGCTAATTGGGTTTGTATCTGCACCAGTGACATCAGAAAAGGGTTTTGTAGTCAATTATGTTCCTCTGGAACACACAGGAAGAGGTTGTCCTGTCAAAGCCCGGGCTGGTCTCTACCTTAATGAGGTGCCCAGACAAAGGCACCAAAGGACATTATTGTCCCTGAGTTCCTGTCTTTAGTGACTTCTGTTCAACAAGAAGCCGAGCTCCATCAGGGTGTGAGAGCTGGATCCCTGCTGCACCCTGGGACGGCCTGCCCCAGGAGCACATCCAAATGTGATCAGGTGCATTCGAGCTGCTTTCCAAAGTCAGCCCCAGGGAAACGAAACCCGCAGCTCTGGCCCAGCAGCCTAGCCACCCAGGGCTCCCTTTAACTGTCCCAAAGCCAGGAAATGGCCACTCACAAAGGCTGTTACAGCCCCCTCTGCTTCCATAACCCTCGCCACATGGCATACACCTGGAGGAAGAGACATGGAATGCTTCCACATTTCCACATGGGTGTTCCCCACCCCACTCCAGTCCAGAACAAATCATTCTTCAAATGTTTTAACATCCTGCGTGTGGGTGGAAGTGAAACTTACTTCTGTCTTCCGGAAGAGGCGGTCTGTTTATAGAAAAATCAGCAAGTTAGATGGCCCATTCGGAGCAGGGCTCTCGGCCACTCAGAAAATACAAGAGTCCTTGGCTTTTCTCTCCTCCTACCCCTGACTCCTGACTCTGCCTTGGGTCTTGGTGGGTCAACTGTCATTTTTTCAGAATACTAGAATTTTCCAAACCTCTGACCAAAGCCCTGGGGTCATTTCCTTTATCTAGTTTCACATTCTTTGCTCCACAGCGGCCAGACTGGGAGGAAATCGCTTCCTCTGGTGGGTAGCTGTCATGGGGGTGACAATCTGAAGGAACTTCTGTTACAAGCAGCCCTGGATGTGAACTGGCCTGTGGTCAGTCCCTGGGGAGGAGGGAGTCTACCCTAGGCCAGGCAGTGCCCAGCATGTGCTGTGCCAGCCCAGCCCTGTGCCTGAGGGCACCCTACCCTATGTTTGCCTCTAGGATCCCGTGGACTCCCTGTTAAAGTGGCGTGATGTGGTCCAGCCACTCCCAACATGGGAATAGGAACTGCACATTTCCTGCCTTTTATCTTCTGGGTGTTGGGGACAAATTTGTCCAAATGATCAAACCATAGCACCACCCCTGGGGCAAGGGCCAGAGTTGTGGCTCTGCTGTACAGAGAGGACTCCAAGAAAGATGTGCAGGCAGCCTTTGCAGATGGGAGAGGCATGCAAGGGATGGTGGACCAGGCACCATCTGCTCGCCGTAGGCCAACCCTCCTCAGGCTGAGGACATGGTACACAGCCTGTGTGGGGACACACACTACAGTTGTCACAGCCCAATTGCTAATTCTGGGTTCCTCCCTGGGAATACCGGGAAAACTTCACTGTGGAATTTTATCATTAACTGGTGAGCATCATGCCCACCCTTGACTGCTGCCCGAGTGGAGTTTTGGAAATGAGCCTAGCTTTGAAAAGGCAGATTGAGAACACAAACACAGACCACAAATGTATCAGGCGACTTTTAGGTGATGAAAATAATCTTGTAACAAATCAAACACGTCAGAATTTAGATCCCCAAACAGGTGTCCCAAGTGATTCCCCCTGGGGGTGGCAGGAACATAGGTCTATTTGCATTTATCCTGGTCTAATCCAGAGGGAAGAATTGCTTTGGTGAAGTGTGCCAATTGCCAAGCTCTGACCGCCTTGCTGAGTTTTCTTCTTAATCGTGCTTGTCCTTCCTCTCCGTTGCCCCACTGTACCTGGCCTGTCCCCCATCTTGGTCCTTGTCTGCATCGAAGTTTTCCCCCTTGGCCTCTCACCTCAAAGGTGCGGCAAGGATCTGGACGGTGCCACCTCCCAGGAAACACCGCTGTGTTCTCGCAGCAACTTCTCCTTCTCCCAACCTGCTTCCCAGGTCTCCCTTTGATTCCCTCCGCCCACAGACTTCCTTCCAACTTCCCGGGCTTAGTGCTTCTGCGTCTTTGCCCTTCACAAATCATAGGGGAGGAGGCAGATGGCCTGCTTCCTCTCTAGGAGGGAATCCACAGAGCCTCAGTTTTCACGTATATGGGCCAAGTGCATTCTACACATGGATGTGTGCCACTGAGGATGCTGGTCCCAGAGTCCCCCCCCCCGAGAATACATCCTTAGGTGGCTGTCCTAAAAAACAAGGTCTCTTCTCTTCAAGTCACGTGCTAATAGCCTTCGGACGGGAAGTGACTCCCCGCCCCCCCAGCCACCACTGCGCTGCCCTCCTAACCCGCCCTGTGCTTTCCCCTGGAAACAGTCTCCAGACAATTGCATTTTTAAGAAGTAGAGCTTGAAGTGCTCTGAGCAGGACAGGCGCATCATCCTTCTTACAGAATTAATTCCTGTTACGTCTGGAACCAGTCTGGCTGGAAGCAAAGACTATCATGGCCAAATCTCCCATTTGTGACTCCTCTGGCACTTTGTTGCCAACCCAAAAGCCTCTTAAATGTCCCTCATGTCTGTCTGGGCTCCCAGTATCCTGAGAAAGCGACTGAGGCAGGGGCCCTGTATACTGTTTTTTTCTCTTTGTTTTCTTTTCTGAAATTCTTTTTATTGCACTTGTTCATGTGTGTGTGCACATGTCGTGGTGTGTATGAGGTGGTCAGAGGACAATTTGTAAAAGCTGTTTTCTCTTTCCACCATGTGGGTCTTGCTCAGCAGCAGGTATCTTTGTTAGCTGATCCATCATGCTGGCCCACTGTGTGCTGTTTTAAGAATCAGTCCCTAGAAGTTGGAAGATAAAGCAGGAGAATCAGTAGTTCAAGGACAACCTCAGCTGCATAGCAGATTAGAGCCAGCCTAGACTACGAGAGACCCTGTCACCAAGCTCAGAGGGTCCCTGGAAGCTGTCCACTGCTCTGGGAATAGGGCCCCCAGCACCAGCCAAAGCTGTCTTTATTTTTCTTGAAATGCAAAACAAGCAATATGGAGTTGAATGTTATCAAAACAACATGAACTACTTCTGAAAGGAATTTTAGAGAAAAGGGCCAGTCTGCGTGAAATCAGCACAACCATTATCGCTTCTGTTACCGGAATCTGAGGTCTGCTGCTTCCTGGTCTGCTGCCAACCTGGTGGAGGGAGCAGGGGAGACCCCCCCCCATCTCAAGTCTCTATCCAGGGGGCAGAGGAGCCCCCATCTCAAGTCTCTATCTCAGGGGGCAGAGGAGACCCCCCATCTCAAGTCTCTATCTCAGGGAGCAGAGGAGACCCCCCATCTCAAGTCTCTATCTCAGGGGGCAGAGGAGACCCCCCATCTCAAGTCTCTATCCAGGGGGCAGAGGAGACCCCCATCTCAAGTCTCTACCTCAGGGGGGAGAGGAAACCCCCCCAATCTCAAGTCTCTACCTCAGAGGACAGAGGAGACCTCCCATCTCAAGTTTCTATCTCAGGGGGCAGAGGAGACCCCCCCCATCTCAAGTCTCTATCTCAGGGAGCAGAGGAGACCCCCCATCTTAAGTCTCTATCTCAGGGAGCATAGGAGACCCCCCATCTCAAGTCTCTACCTCAGAGGACAGAGGAGACCCCCATCTCAAGTCTCTACCTCAGGGGGGAGAGGAAACCCCCCAATCTCAAGTCTCTACCTCAGGGGGCAGAGGAGACCCCCATCTCAAGTCTCTATCTCAGGGGGCAGAGGAGACCCCCCCAATCTCAAGTCTCTACCTCAGGGGGCAGAGGAGATCCCCCATCTTAAGTCTCTATCTCAGGGAGCAGAGGAGACCCCCCATCTCAAGTCTCTATCTCAGGGGGCAGAGGAGACCCCCCATCTCAAGTCTCTATCTCAGGGGACAGAGGAGACCCCCATCTCAAGTCTCTATCTCAGGGGACAGAGGAGACCCCCATCTCAAGTCTCTATCTCAGGGGGCAGACGAGACCCCCATCTCAAGTCTCTATCCAGGGGACAGAGGAAACCCTCCCCATCTCAAGTCTCTACCTCAGGGGACAGAGGAGACCCCCCCATCTCAAGTCTCTTTCTCAGGGGACAGAGGAGACCCCCCATCTCAAGTCTCTATCCAGGGGTTTTAGGGTGCAGACAGCTTTTATAAGAGGGATGAAGAGAAGTCCAGACAGACAGTGGGCAGGAAGTCTAATGCTGGGTGAGGCTCCATCATCTAGAGGTGGGTTCTCTTTCCTTAGCACTTGAAGGACACTTCACAGTGGTGTTTGCTCTGCAGCAGCTGAGTACCCTAATGTTGATTAATACTTAGAGTGATATAATAACAATGTGTAAACCATGACTATGTCTGCTTGACTGTCAGACTTCCAGCCACAGGACAGCTGGTGACGCAGGGGAAACCATCCGAAGAGGCTTTGTCTGCAAGGAGAAAGCTTGTGCACACTCTTTCTTCCCCCCTTTCCTCAAACTCCCCCTCCCCACTTTTTCCGCTGAGGATAGAATTTAGGGCCTTGCACAAAAGCACCCTACCACCGAGCTATTAATACATTCCCAGACCTTAAAGTTTTGTGGGACAGGTGAAGGCAAGAGGACCAGGAGTTCAAGGACATCCTCAAGCTGCATAGCAAGTTGGAGCCTCGGCTACAGGAGACCCTGTCCTGAAGCAAGAAGGGTCTCTGGAATCCATCCACTGCTCTCTGGGAGTACGGGCTTCTCCTGGATAAAGGAGGGGAGAAAAGGACAGTTTCAAGTGAACCCCTGTTTTACACTGACATTTTGCAGATGGAGTGGAGGAGATAAGACATGGTATAGGGTTTGGCTGGGAGACTGTTTGGAAAAACATGGAATTTCCCCCGAGTCTAGCAGGACACTAACCTTCTGAGAAGCCCTGTCCTCCATCCTATTGGCTCTCATTTACACCCTCTGTCTTCCCCTTCCTCCTCCTCTTCTTTTTGGGGGTTGAGCACAGGCTACCTTACCGGGAGGGCAGGTGGGGCTGTTCCCTTCTCCCCATAGACAAAGCCTCTTCGGATGGTTTCCCCTGCATCACCAGCTGTCCTGTGGCTGGAAGTCTGGCAGCCGAGCAGACATAGTTCATGGTTTACACATTGTTATTATATCACTGTAAGTATTAATCAGCATTTGGGTTTTCGTCATAACATAGCTATTGCATAATTTTGTTTGCTTCATGGAAAATTAAATGAGGAATTGGCAGTACATTCAACAAACGGTTAAATTAATGTTTTTCCTCCAAGTCTTCAACAATAACCATCAGTGCTCCCAGCAGACTACTGTGTTTACCCAGAGGCCCCAGGTGCCCCGCCCCTACCTCTGGGAATTGCCAGGATGACCTGGATTGTGACAAAGTCCAGCACACAGAAGGGACTCCTAGAGGATAGTGATGTAAATAATACTGACTATGGGCCATGTACTAGGTGAATGAGGTCAACGTACTTAAAATTAGGGTGACAAATGAAAACAGTGCTTGGACTTGGGCTTGAAAAGTCTAGTTAGATGATTGTGGACCTGTTACCTGCATTCTAATTTATTACAAGAAGAAAGGACGACACACACCATCAATAAGCATGCGCTTTGCCCGCCCCCCCAACACCCATAGAGCCCTAACAATCCCACCCATGGCATGTTCACACACAAGCCCATCCCCCCGTCCCCCCCCCCCCCCCCCCCCCCCCCCCCCGTCATAGATACACTCCCAAGATGAGTCACATAGACTTCAGAAAACCATGACCGTGAGACTCTAAGCACTTGTCAAGTTTACTCTGGCCTTCTCTAAAGAAACATGCCCATGCCGGGCAGTGATGGCGCATGCCTTTGATCCCAGCACTTGGGAGGCAGAGGCAGGAGGAACTGAGTTTGAGGTCAGCCTGGTCTATAGAGTGAGATCCAGGACAGGCACCAAAACTACACAGAGAAATTCTGTATTGGGAAAAAAGAAAAAGAAAAAAGAAAAGAAAGAAAAGAAAAAGAAAAGAAACGTGCCCATGCATTTATCATTCTGCCAATTTAGAGCAAGCTTAGATCATGTTTGTGTGCAGAGTCCCCACAAACGTGCTCTACTCTGCAGCAGAAGCCCTTGGAAAGATTGCTTTGATCCCTTCCAGGCTGTTGCTCAAAGGGATTCAGGCCTTGGGCTGTCCCCTGGAGTCCCAGCTCCTTGGGCTGTCCCCTGGAGTCCCAGCTCTTCCATAGTTGTCCGTCTTTTAGCCACACGGATCTGCAGCCGTTAGAACTCTGCTCAGATGGTGGGTAGACAGCCAGGTCTGTTGTCTGAGAAGACAGGAGGAGGGAAAGCGGGTCCATTAATACTCCAGCACTGCTCTTACATGTGTTTGCAGCGTCTGCTTTACATATTCTGGGAGCACGGTAAGCGTTCACCTCTGGCAGTATTTTAGGAAGGTTTGATCACCACTCCAGTGCATAGTGAAAACAGTCATCATCCAGCTAGACACAGTTTCAAAGGTTGGAGACAGTCACAGTTGAAGATTCGAGTGTGTTTCTTGCATTAATGTCATTAATGGCACCGGAAGATTACAGGAAAATCCCATTGTGGAAAAAGACACCCAGGTTCAAAAATAACATTTAGGTGACTTCTTTACCTACGCAGTTCTTCCTGTGAGAAAACTCTTCAAAAGACAAAATTAAAAAAATAAAAATAAAAAATAATTAAAGCCGGGCGGTGCTGGTACACGCCTTTAATCCCAGCACTCGAAAGGCTGGGAGTTCGAGGCCAGCCTGGTCTACAGAGTGAGATCCAGGAAAAGGTCCAAAGCTACACAGAGAAACCCTGTCTCAAAAAACCAAAATAAATAAATAAATAAATAAATAATTTTTAAAAATTAAATTATCTGTCCCTGGTGAGGTAGATAAAAAATGCTGTACTATTAATGTAAGGTTTTTTAAGAATTCTTCATTAATTTTATTTTTTGATAGTTTTTGTCAGAGTGTCAACAGTAGAATATTCTTAGTCCAAATTGGAACTAATTAAAAGTTATTTGAGGAACCCAAGTGAGGAACAATGTTCACCATTTCACACCTCTCAGAATAGAAACGCAGGCAGCTGACAAATGGGGGCGAAATGCTCATGGTTTTGACTCTTCTAAATCACGGCAAAGACTAAAGTTTGCTTATGTAACTAACACAAATCCAGGATTCTACGTGGTCCAGGCTTTGCATTGGTCCAGACCAGGAAAAAAGTGAATAGAAAGCAAATCTTTTATCTCTCTTGAGAAAATGCCAAAAGTAAGAGTGTATTCTAAATATCTAGCAACGCTCCTTAAAATGAATACCCAGTCTCACTGTCGGTCCAGTTACTGCCTTCCTGCTTGCCCAGCCTCTGCACCTCACTCAGGTTCTTCCCTGAGCTAGCAAACCCGCCCCCATTCACTGTCATTCAGCGTGGCCTCCCAGGCACCAGCGTTTTCTGCAGACTGCTGTTACTGAGACCCTGCATAACAAAGAATAGTTCGTAATGAACTCTGGGAGGCAGGGTGTATTCAATTTTCGCAGGAGACCCCCTTTTCTTGGTCTGTGCCTGATCCAGGGAATGTGAAGAGCAAAGAGCAAGACCGAGAGAGCAGTGTCTGCCGGTCAAAGCATCTACCGCATCATCCAAGGGGTTCTGCCCAGCTGGAATTCCGGTTCACTGTTGTCTTAGTTAGGGTTTCTATCGCTGTGATAAAATACCATGACCCAAAGCAACGTGGGGGCAAAAAAGGTTTATTTGAGCTTAGAGTTCTGCGTCACAATGCATTACCAAAGGGAGTCCGGCAGGAACTCAAGCAGAGCAGGAACTCGAGGCAGGAAACCAAGCAGAGGCCACGGAGTGCTGCATGCCGGCTTGCTCCTCGTGCCTTGCTCTGCCTGCCTTTTGTTGTTGTTGTTGTTGTTGTTGTAATAGCACCCAGGACCACCAGCCCAGGGGTGGCACCACCCACAATGAGCTGGGCCCTCCCGGTCATAAATTAAGAAAACGCACAACAGGCTTACCCACAGGCCATTCAAGTCGGGGCATTTTCTCAATTGAGGAGTCCTCTTCTAAAATGATTCTATCTTGAGGCAAATTGACATAAAGTTTGCCGGCACAAATGAACAGGGAGACAGCAGGTCTCTGTCTGGCTTACTGATACTCCCCTTCCCCTATTCCTCTCATGGAAAAGGAGAGATTATAACTGGATAGGACGGCCGTGCTTATTGCTATGAACCGCACCGAGACTGGGAGACCCCTGATGAATTGGAAAGTCTGGTTTGTGTCTCATAGGAAGCATCATGTGATCCATGTTATCACAAAACCATCAGCCTGATGTGTGGGGTTCAGAGCTTGTCTGTGTGTTTGGGGGTGAGGGTGGATTTGAGAGCACAGGTATGCAAGTGAAAACACTCAGGGCGATGAGACAGGGGAGTCACAAGTTTGAGGTCAGCTTAGAGCATGTAGAGGGACCCTGTCTGACAAACAAAACTTCAAAACAACAGTAATAACGAAATAGAATTTAAAAGCCTGAGCATTTCTGGCAGACGGCAGCCCTGACAGAGGCAGGTCACTTGGTATAAACTGGATAAAACCTGTCGCAGCCAGCTCTCCAGCCACTCTGCTCAGGTCCTCTGGACTTTATGCTGAGCAATGGTGGGAGCTGAGCTGGATTCTAGCTGAGACTCTTCTGAGGGGAGCCTACCGCTTCCTGGGAATGCACCGAGCTACGGGCGGAGTCCTAGGACTTCCAGGCTGGCCGGCTTGGTGTTTCCACAGTGGGGACCTGGGGACAGCAGGCCGGAGAACCAGCCCTTTCAGAGGGCTCTGACGTTTATCTACCGCCACTTTAATGACTGTTTGTTGCCACCTGCTGGCCGCTGGGCTGCTGAGCAGCATTCTGCAAAAGAGATGCATCCTTGGACCCCCATCAAAATATGGCGACCAGTGTGGTGGCATACGCCTTTAATCCCGGGACTAGGTGAGTTCAAGGCCAGTCTTGTCCACATAGCTAGTTCCAGGCCAGTCATGGACCCCGTCTCCGTAAAATTAAATTAAATTAAAAAATGTGAGTGGGGTAGAGGCAGCACTAATTGGATCAGTGGGTTGTAATTTTGATTAAAAGACTAGGATGTGAATTTGGGAGGAGAAGGGATACAGGAAGAATTGAGGATGGGGGTTGAGAGTGGGTATAATCTAAATACATTGTATACATGCATGGAATTACTTAAGAATAAACTTTCTAAAATGTGAGTGGAGACAGAAGTGAAGGATCTGCAATAATCCATTCATCAAACCATGAAAATGAGTGTGCTTTTTTTTTTTTTACTTATTTATTGTTTTCTTTGGTGTGCTTTTTATAACTATGCTACCTTTCATTCACTCATTAGTCAATCATAAGCACTTCGGACGGACCCACAATGGCATTGGGGTTATTGATAGATTGATAGTCACATTCTCATTTTATTCTCAAATAAAAGCATGCAGCATGGTCTATCCTAGTCATTTATGATTATTTTGATGCAGGTCTGACAATAGCCTGGACTGACCTGGAGCCAGTAATCCCCCTGCCTCAGCCACTCTACTCTTGAATTATGATTTACCTCCATTCACTCCTCACAACCATGACTGACTTCCCATCGACCAGATGTGGCTACAGTGGCGAGCAAAGAGACCCAGTCATTACTCTCTCTTTGCAGTGGGAGAGGCTGATCAACCCCAGAGCCACCATCACAGTGCAGTGTGGTAGAACCAGAGGAAGGGTTTCATTAAGAGTGGGCCTGAAGTGACCCATCGGTCCTAACTAGAGATTCAGGCTGTTTGAAACGCACTGAGGTTATTTAAGCACTTCTACTCTGGGGAGTGAGTGTGTCCTAAACGACAATCAGGAAAGGTGGTTCACGGTATGATTTTGCAGAAAAGCTAATGCACACCACAGAAATGTAAAGAGAGCTGCCCAAGCATCCCTGGATAAAGAGCTGCTTAAGTAAATCATGATGTACTCAAAAAAAAAAAAAAGGAAGGAAGAATATTCTAAAGCCATTGGACATGCAAGAGTAGAACCTCAGGGTTCCAGCAGGATGAGATTTTACTGTTATTTTGCAAGTTATAGTAATAAATCTCACCTCCAGAAACATTTTTATGACTCTTTCCTTCTGCTCCTAGCTACATTGTCATTGTTACTGGATCACTGTGATCTTCATGCACATATGTTGTGATTTCTTCCCTGGGGAAAAAGGGGCACAATCCCCCCCCCCACACACACACACACACACAAAGTCTTTTCTCTCCAGCCCCTATGATGGTTTTTAGTGGTGTTCTTTCCCTGTGAGGAAAAATCACAAAACACAACAGAATCCACTAACAAGAGTTTTATTAAGACATGGAGAAAGGGATAGATGTGATCAGGCCTGCTGTGGGAGAAGTGGGGGCGGGGGGTGTGTGTGGAATGACATGGGGCCTGCCTTTTTAAAGGCAACCCCCACACATGTGCACACAGGCCCACGTGGCTACTCCACACATGCGCATAGATCACATGGTCACATCATGTGTGATTACATGACCACGAAGCAAATGGATTAAGTAGGATGTATGACCCGGAAATGACTAGGCGGAAATAACAAAGTGTCCCGACAGAGCATGCATGACCATGGGGGTGTGGCTGGAATTCCTATCACCCTACTGGCTCCCACCTCATCTCTTTGCCACCCTTTACAGAGGTGCACCTCTGATTCTACCTCTCTTAAATCCTCCCTGGCCAGGATTTTGTGCATGTCAAAGGGACCAATGGTCGGCATATTGTTAAACCCTGTACTCATGTTGCGTTGGCTCCATCAGCCATGTTAACACAGCCACAGAGCCACAGGCCCTGCTCAGGTCCTCCTCCAGGCACCCAGAACTGCCCTCAGCCTCATTTTCTCCTGCCTCTGACTTCCTCCTTCCCACGCTCAGTTGCTACATCCTCACTTCCTCCAAAGCCTTGAAGGTTCCTTTGCTTCTCTACCTACTCATGCCTTTGACCTGATCCAATCATGGCTTTATTTATTTAAAGTGTTTGTTTTTTTAAGCTTTTTTTCTTTAAAATGTTTATTGTACTTTGTGATTTGTGTGTGAGTACCTGTGTATGTATATGTGTGTGTGTACCTGTGTATGTGTATGTGTGTGTGTGTGTGTACCTGTGTATGTGTGTGTGTGTGTGTGTGTGTGTGTGTGTATGGACCGACTCATGACATAACACGTACATGAAGATCTGAAGACAACCTGCAGAAGTCAGTGTTCCCTTTCCTCCCTATGGATCTGAGGATTTGAGCTGAGCCATTTCATTGGCCCTATTCATTCATTCATTCATTCATTCATTCATTCATTCAGTGCTGGAGATGGAACCCAGTGCTTTCCAGGCAAGCTCTCTACGACGAGCCACCCACCCCTGTCCCACCCTTCCTTTAATGAGAAGTCTAAAACGGCTGTTGTAGCTCACAGCCCTCTTGCCATGTGGATCCCTTACTCTTTGGAATTCAAAGCGAAAGGTTCCAAATTTCCAGGTTTGTTTGCTGCCTACCCTCACCTCTTCTTTGTGCCAACCCGCTAACTAAGGCCAGTTAGTCCCCGAGAGATTCTCCTGCGCCCACAGACTGCCCAACTGAGAAGCCTGGCCCCTCTAGTCTCTGGGGGGATGGATGCCGCCCCCACGGCAGCCTTGGCTTTGCTTGGGACATCCTGAATCCTTGAGCGACTGTGTGGAGGTGAGCGCCCCACTGCCTTCTCCCCACTCAGAATTTCATGAGTGAAAACCAAGTATTTATTGTGTGCAGCTATAGAAATTCTGGGGCTTATTTGTTCAGTAGCGAGGGTGATTAAGGCACAATTTGGTCCTTTGCATTGGGACCATGTGGTTAAAAATAAACTCTAGAGGTTGAGAGATGGCTTGGCAATCAAGAGCACGTGTTCTTGCAGAGGACCCAGGTTCGGGTCTCTGTACCCACATGATGGCTCACGATCATCCTCGGGTCCAGTTCCAGGGGATCCAATGCCTTCTGACCTCTGCAGGCACCAAGCTCACATGTGGTGCACAGACATACATGCAGTCAAAATGCTCATACATAAAATAAAATAAATAAATCTAAAAAGTGCTTTTTAAAGAAAAACAATTAAAATAGAGATTAACTCTAAAATGTATAGCTTTGCAGAGGAAGGCAAGAAAACTGATATCGGAGACTAAGAAGAGGCTAAAAGCCATGTTAGGTACTAGAAAATTATTTAATAAAACTGTGGTCTTCGATCACTGGGTGAGCAAAGTGTCTGCTGAGCTTGTGGGTCTGGGAGAAAGGTGACAAACGCCAGAGCCTCTGCTCAAGTTTGGCTCTGGAACTCAGTCACAGGGCTCCTGTGTGGATGAGAGGAATTAGCGGGAGGGTTGTTCACCTGACTGGGCAGTCACAGGGTCACAGAAGGGGGAAGACGGATTACTTTTACCGGTTAACTGATATCCTAGAATTTAAACAGGAAAATATAACGCAGGCTTGCAGCTCTCTCCTCCATCCTGCATGTCCTCTGTCTGTTGTTCGGACCCTGTGGAATGGGATGATTTGACCAGATGCTGTCCTCAGGCTCAAGGTGCGAGACTACTCAGGACTCAATCCCTGAAGGAGCTGGGGGGGCATGGAGCAGACAGGGTGCTCTCAAAGGTCTGCTTTCTGCTGGAACCCAGTCCAACCCTACAAAGAAGCCGCGTTTGGTTTGAAAAGAAAAGCTTCAGTGAGTTGAACAATTGCAAGCTACTCGCTGTGGAGCAGATCTTGTTTTCAGGGACCTTTTAAACAAAGGGCTTGAAAAGCTGAACTCCTCTGCTTTCTGCGTCCCTGAGGGAGAGTAGGCTGAGAGGGGACAGCGGGAAGCAGGAATTTGGAACAAATGCCACTGGGGCGGGACGCCTTTTCCCACTAAGTGCTCTGCTGTAATAATAGGACATGGGAGGCTGCATTGGGCCCAGCTACCAGCTCTGGGTGGGCTAGGTTCTGCTTGACGCAGAGACGGGGGAGGGGATAGCCACTTGGGGCCCAGTTCACAGAAAAGCTGTCCGTGTTAAAAGCCGCATGCGATCATATGTGGAATTCTCCAGCAGCTGATTCAACACCAAC